GATGGCTCAGAGCCTGGAGCCTGTTTCCGATTCTGTGTCTTCCTCTCTCTCTGCCCCTCCCCCGTTCATGCTCTGTCTCTCTCTGTCCCAAAAATAAATAAACGTTGAAAAAAAAAATTAAAAAAAAAAAATTATCTGTCCCAAAATGTCAATAGTACAGAAGTTGACAAATCCTAGGTTTAAATAATAAAAAGGATCTTGCCTCAGGGGTAATCAAAAATTAACTCTGGACTAAAACCATGTTCCTGCCCCAACTAACAAAACTTTCGCTCATGCAAGACCAGAAAAGATCAAACTATTTCCACATAACTGCATCCCAGAACAAAGCTCAAGAATATTTATAGGAGGGGGCTCCTAGTTGCCTCCGTAGGTTAAGCGTCTGACCCTTGATTTCGGCTCAGGTAATGCCCTCATGGTTCATGAGTTCAAACCCCACATTAGGCTCTTTGCTATCAGCGTGGAACCCACTTCAGATCCTCTGTCCCGCTCTTGCTAGCCCCCCACTTGTTCTCTCTCTCTCTCTCTCAAAGTAAATAAACTTTAAAAAAAGAATATTTATAGAAGTGTCAAAATATTCAGTATCTAATAAGGTGAAACTGACAATACTTGACATCCAATAAAAATTTGCCAGACAGGCAAAGAAGAAGAAAAATACAATCTGTAACGAGGACAAAGATCTATTAAAATTGACAAAGAAATTAAATAGAGAATAAGTTAATAGAAAAGGACATTAAAACAATTATATAATTGTATTCCATTTGTTCAAGAAGCTAGAGGAAAGATTGGACATGCTGAGTAGAGAAATGGGACATATGAAATGATCCAAACCAACTTCTAGAATGTCTAAGATGAAAAATATACTGGATGGGATTTAATGACAGATGACACATTGCAGATGAAAAGACTATGAAGACATGGCCATACATAACCATCTAAAACGAAACACAGAGTGAAAACAAACTCAAAACATAAATAAGTAAACAGAGCATCAGTGAAATGGCACAACTTCAAGCAACCAAATATATATATATATATATATATATAAAACTAAATATAAAAATAAAGTTTCCAGAAGACAGAGGGGAGGGGGGAAATTCAAAAACTATTTGAAGAAATAATGGCCAAGATTTTTCAAAAGTTAATGACAACTATGAACCAGCAGAGCCAGGAAACTCAACAAACCCAAAAACAAGAAACATGAGGAAAGCTGCACTAACACATCTCATAATCAAATTGCTTGAAACCAGTGATAAAAAGAAAATCTTAAAAGTAGTCAGAGGAAGGAGAATGATACAGAAAAGACGTGTTGGCAAGGAGATGGAGAAACTGGAACTCTGGGGCTTTGCTGGTGGGAAACGTACAACAAGGAAGTATTGTGGAAAACAGTATGGTGGTTCCTCAAAGAATTAAAAACAGAATTACAGCATGATCCAGTATTTTGAATTCTGGGTATATACCTGAAAGAATTGAAAGCAGAGACTTGAACAAGTATTAACAGGTATTTGTAGATCTATGTTCACAGCCACGTTACTCTCATTAGCCAAAAATTGGAAGCAATCCAAGTGGACATCTCCAGATGAATGGATAAATTAAAAAGTGAAATATACATATAGTGAGATCTTAGTCAGCCTCCAAAAGGAAAGGAAAGGACAGATATTTTGATACATGGTACAGTGTAGATAAGCCTTGAAGGCATTATGTTAGGTGAAATAAGACAGTCACAATGGACAAATATTGTATAATCTGAGTTATATTAGTTAATAGAGTTGTCATATTTACAGAGCCAGGAAGGGCAATGGTGGCTTCAGGGACTGTGGAGAGGAAGTGAAGGGAAGCTGTTATTTAATAGGGACAAAGTTTTTGTTGTGCAAGATAAAGAGTTCTAGGGATGGATGGTGGTGATGGCTGCACAGCAGTGTGAATGTACTTAATGCTATTGACCTGGACAATTATAAATGTCTAAAATGATAAATTGTATATTACATATATTTTACCTCAATTAAAAAATGAAAGAAGATGATATTATGAATAACTTTATGCCAATAAATATGACAACTTGGATGAAGTGAATAAATTTCTTAAAAGACAGACTACCAAGGCACATCCAAGAGGAAATATGTAATGACAAGTGTTGAACATATTAAGGAAATTGAATACTTGTTAAAAACCTCCCACAAAGAAAACCTCAGGTCCAGATATCCTTCAGAGGTGAATTCTAGCAAATATGTTTTAAAAATTCTATTCAAACACTTCCAGAAAATTAAACAGGAGGGTCAACCTCCCAATTCATTCTATGAAGCCAAACCAGATAAAGATTTTTTTAAAAAAAGAAAACTACAGGTAGATATCCTTCCTGAATATAGCTATAAAAACTCTAAAAAAGTTATTCAATCCAATCCAAAAGCACGAAAAAAAAGATGGTACATCATAACCAAATGCAGTTTATACCAGGAATGCAAAGTAGGTTTAACATTCAAATATTAATTAATGTAATTTACCACTGCACAAGAATAAAGAAAATACATGTGACCATCTCAATAGAAAGAGAAAAAGTTATTTAAAAATTCCAACATCCATCAAGATTAAATCTGTCAACAAACTTGGAATAGAAGGAAACTTCCTCAATCTAATAAAGAACGTGCTTTAAAAAACACTATAACTAACATACTTAATAGTGAAAGATTGTTTTCCTGCCAAGCAAAGATGTCTACTCCTACCACTTCTATTTAACATTGTACTGGAGATCCTAGCCATTGCAATAAGGCCGTAAAGTATATATAAAAAGAAGAAATATACAAGTATATTATATATAAAGAGAGAGACACAGAGACAGGGGCTGGGGGGAGGACAGTATGTATAGAGGAATAAAGATGAAGATAACATTCATATGGAAGTCCAGACTAGGGATCCATAGACAGAAAGTATACTAGTGGTTGCTTAGTGCTGGGGGGAGGTTGGGGACAGGGTGTAGAAGGATGATAGCTAAGAGATAGAGGTGTGTTTTTTTTCTTCATGTAATGAACATAATCTAAAGTTGACTGTGGTGATGGTTGCAGGTTAGCAAGCCTGGTATCACTATACATGTATACTGGAATTGAACAATCAAGTAAATGGATGGCAATGATGGGAACCAGCTTTCTCACTGTCAGAATGGGAAGTACAGCTAAGCAAGGGGAGAAGGCTAGAATGATTGATGTGGTAATGGAGAGTTGGCTACATCAGTATGAACCCATGTTAACTTTAATATATATGCAGATGGCTACATATAGAAATATTTATAGATGTGTGTTCATGTGTATATACTCAGGTTAGTACATGCACATATATATGTTTCTTTGCTCTGTCCGTTGAGGACCTAGAAGCAAGAACCCCAATAGCAGTGAGCACGCTTAATACTTGGTCTTAGTTTAACCATTCTCCAATAAAAGGAACCAGGGCTCCTTGGAGAAATGGCTGATTCTAGGAAGGGTTAAGGATATATATAAGGTGATCCTAGAACATCTTGTACAGTAAGCAAGTGCTCAAAAGAAAACCTCCTACATTGCTGGAATTATGTCAAGGGGATACATACACAGACTGAAAGAGCTCTCAGCCACAGGAGGAACAATGGGAACAACAAAATAACATATTGGATTATAACCTGAAGTATAATATAAATGCACATGAGTCAATATTATATAATCATATGAGTGAATGAATAAATAAATGGGAGGGAAGAAACCAATCTCCCATGTAGTAGAATTCCAAATAATTTATGTAAACATTCCCCCCTCAAAGTGGTGGAGTGTCAATCCTCATGCCTTAAATATGGGCTGGGCATAGAGCCTTCCTTCCAGAGAGTACAGACGGTATGGGAGTGATTTTATGGTAGATAATCCTAACATTTTCTCATCCAGGTCAGCATCAACAGCGAGGAGTCATATGGGTAGCCTGTACTTACCCTTGACATCATGTGATGAAAACGGCACTTTATCTGTGATCTTCCAAAACCCCATTAAAGGACAAAATTCAACTGGGTAAATTTGCAGACCTAATTGGCTTTATTAAGCAATTCATGAATTGGGCAGCATCCTATCTAGCAAATCAGAGAGATATTCAAAGGAGTGTACAAAATGGGAGGTTTTTTAAACAAGGAGGGTGGGACTAGGAAGTCACCAGCAAAAGAAAAAAAAAAAAAAAAGGATTGTTTCTGGCAAGATCAGCTTCCCTTAGGGGGAATGGCAAGAGGTCTTACCATGCAGATTATCTCCTCTTCTTTTGGGAGGCAGAGAGGGCCCATGTGACAGATGACCACACTGGTACTGACCAGAAAATTCCTGACTGACCAGTTAGGAGTACCTTCTGGGGGAGGTGCAAACTATAGTTAGGTTAGATATTAAGCCCTAGTTTGGTGACTTGGCCTAGAATAAGTGACTCCATCTTGTGACTGTGGTTTTCTTCTTAACAACCCATAATCTAGGTCTAATCATGAGGAAAACATCAGACAAGTCACAATGGAAGATCATTCTACAAAATACTTGACTGGTACCCCGCCCCCCCAAACTGTCGAGATCATAAAGAACAAAGTCTCAGAAACTGTCATATTCCAGAGGAGCTCCAGGAGACATGACAACTAAATGTAAGGTGGTATGTGGTGAGGGAAACAAAGGTAAGAAAGATGTAGTTTACATTAAATTCCCTTATGGCCTGCGGCCTATTGATAGATGTCAGGACACCTGCTGCAGGTAACACTCCCCAAGGCGTTTATGGCTGCCTTAATGCCTTAATGTTTACGCCTTAAAAAACTAAAAGCAACCTTATCTTGACAATAGCTAAATCTTCTGGTCCTGTGAGACCCTGCTTTCAGCATCCAAAAATTCCTTGGAAACTAACTTTATCTCTACTCCTCCCCTCCACCCCCTGCCCCACGAAATCTAAAAGTATATCATCAGTCGCTCCTCACAACCCCAGTGCAGCTCTTCCTGCCCATGGGTCCTGTCCCCATACTTTAATAAAATCACCTGTTCGCACTGAAGACATCTCAAAAATTCTTAGTCGTTTGTTCGTGAACCCCACTTCAAATTTCATCAGTATATGTCCCAGATGGGATCCTGGAACAGAAAAAGGACATTAAGTAAACACTAAGGAAATCTGAATGAAGTGTAGACCTTCATAATCATAATGTATCCATATTGGTTTATTAATTGTGACAAGACTACCATACAAACTACTCTCAAAGTTTATTTTTTAAAAGAAACCTGATGCCCGATCCCACTCACCAGAGATTCTGATTTCATTGGTCAGCTTTGTGGCCTGAGCACTGGGAGTTTTCAAAGCCCTCCAGGTGATTCTGAGGTGCAGTGAGGTTTGAGAACCACACTGGATGCAGGCCAGGGGCTATCTGCTTATCGACCAGGTCTACTGGCCCAAGTTTAATCTGTAAAACCGTATTTCTTCAACAGTGTTTCCCTACTTCAAGCATAAACAGGTGGGCCCAGACAGAATATCTTTCCGTATTCTCCTAGATTAAATGGTGCAGTTCAAAAGAGCTACGAGCTACTGAGCACTTGAAATGTGGCTAGTATGGCTGAAGAAGCAAAATTTTCATTTAATTAAAGTTAATTAATTCAAATTTAAATACCAACATGTGACTAGTGACTAGTGATAGGTTGGACAGCACTGCTCTATACAAAAACAATCACGTTCCTAAGAAAAGATTTCTTAATGCTCTTTTTTGGCTCTGGACTACTTTCTTCTGTCTCCAGCTTTTTCTCTTCCTACAAGTTGGAGTCTCCCATTTGCCAGGAGGCATTTTTACTTTAGAACAACGGTGCCCGTGCGGAGCTACCGCGCTCCCCCACGTTGGCAGCAGAAAGGCTCCGGTCCTCCCTGGCCCTCCTCCACCTGCCGGGCCTGCTGCCGGCTGTGGGAAGCAGCCGTTGTGCTCTTGGATGAGAGCATTTCCTCCAAGCCTCGACCACCCCGCCTTTCTGGAGGAGGATGGTTCAGTCCAACTCGAATTTTTCAACTGCTCTCTGGAGTTCATTCCCAACTCCTAAAGAAGAAAGGGAAGCAGGGTCTCCTGGTGGAGGGCTGCAGATGTTCTGATATTTGTCTCTGTTTAAAAAATAGTTTCTCCCCAGCCCTCTACCATATCCACGAATTTCTACTATACTGCACAGCGAATGGCTACATTAAGCATTTGCAAGGTCTGCACCATAGTATCGCTGATAGCTCAGTGGCAGAATACGATGACACCACAGACTGCCTGGCCGGATGAGTAGTAGGGGGAAATAAGCATTCTGGAGGGAAGGGATAGATGGAGCTTTATCACAGACCACTCGCGGACTGCCGGCTCCTACTGAAAGCAAAAACCAAAACCAAGGTTTGAGACAAAGCGCTGCCAAGCTGGGGCAGCGCACCTTGTCCCTTACACGTTGCGCTGGAAGTTCAGCTGTCTTGGCTGAACAGGTGTGGGGTTTGTGTGGTTCTCACGAGGCCAAGAGGCGGGGGGAGGATGGGTTTTCTTAAAAGTAACAGCTTCAGCAGCTGAGGCTGTCCCAGGCCGATTTCACAGATCAGGACGGAATCTAGGTTATCACGAGCAATTTGCAGAGGAAAAAAACGAACTGGAATTAGCAAGGCCTCTGATCATCCGTTTTGCCACAACCACAGGACTTTGTTCAGGGCCGGTGGCTTCAGGGCTTGTTTTTGTTTTTAACAGCTTCATTGACATAGCGTTTAAATCCTATAAAAGTCACCGATTTTAAATGCACAAGTCAATGATTTTTAGCAAATTTGTATTTGTGCAACCATCGTCATTTGAGTTTTAGACCATTCCTTCTACCACAAGATCTCTCGTGCCCATTCGGTCACTACCACTACGTATCATCCCCAACCTCCCCCAGGCCTTAGGCAGCCACTGATTTACTTGTCATCTCTATGGGTTTACCTGGACACTCCGTGTAAATGGAATCAGCAATATGAAGTATTTTGGGATTGGCTTCTTTCTCTCGGCATGTTTTCAAGGTTCATCTATGGCACAGCACGCATCTGCACTTCATTCCTTTTTATGGTGGAATAGTATCCAATCGTGTGGCTGATGAGGGAGTGTGAGGCAGGCTGAGGGCAAAACCCAAGCTAGCACCCCGCCCCCTCCCAGGTGGGACACGTGTGATATTCCTTGGACACTCCCAGCTACCCCAAAACAAAACAAAACAAAAGACAAAAAACAAAAGGTTAAACTGATAAGTCTCCACCCGTTTACCAGAAAAGGCAATCCCATCGACAGCCTAAAGTCCAGGAACTCTCTACTATCTTCAAGTTAATGTTTTGCTAGAGGGAAAGACAACCTTAGCTTGACAACAGCTAGGCCTCCAGTAAGTCTTGACCGTGTGAAGTCTCTTTGGAAACTCCCTCTCCCCGGACTCAACCCCCAGCACTTACAGTGCAGCTCTTCCTGCCCATGGATCCTGTCCCCATGCTTCAATAAAATCACTTTTTTTTTGCACCAAAGACGTCTTCAAGAATTCTTTCCTGGCCATCGCCTCCAGACCCCACAAACCACCCCACCATCACCCCAAAACTTCATCATGGCTATACCACATTTTGTCTATCCATTCATCAGTCAATGGACATTTGGGTTGTTTTGTCTACTATGAATAATGATGCTATAAATGTTTGCGAAAGAGTTTTCATTTGAACAGATATTTTCAATTCTTTTGGGTATGTGCTTGGAGTGGACTTGCCAAATCATGGTAACTCTAGGTCTAACCTTTTGAGGAACTGCTGAACTGTTTTCTGAAGTGACTGGGCCATTGTGCATCCCCATTGGCAATGTATGAGGGTTCCCTTTTCTGCACATCCTCACTGGCATGTTATTTCTCCTTTCTAAGAACTAGAGCCTTTCTAGGAGGGGTGAGGTGGCATATCCTTATGTTTGGATTTACATTTCTCTACTGGCAAGTGATGTCGAAGAGCTTTTCATGGGCTTACTAGCCATTCATAAATGTTTTGCGTTGAAATTTTTAATGGAGTCAATTGGGTATCTTTTTATTATTGAATTGCAAGAGTTTTATTTAGATTGTGGATACAAGTTCCTCATCAAACCTATTTGCAAATACTGTCTCCAATTCTCTAGGCTATCTTCTTACTTTCTTAATAATGTTTCTGGAAGAATGTAAGTTTTTAATTTTGAGGAAGTCCAATTTATGATCTTTTCTTCTTTTACTGATTGTGTTTTGTAAAAAATCGTCTCTAAGCAATTTTCACCTAATCCCAGGTTAGAAAGATATTCTCCAATTTTTTCTACTAAAGTCTTTACAGATAACAAACTCCTATCCTTCTACCTCAACCAATATACCTTCATAACAACATGGAAGGCCAGGCTCAAATGGAAAATTCTTGGACTCAAAATTCTACACCTAAATGTAGTGACATGGAGAATACCAGCTTCCAGCAACTGACCCACCAACTATATCCCCCTTGAGTCCTCACTCTGGGCTCTCCCTCACTGAGATGGACCTCACGCTTGCATCTGTGGACTTACTAGCCCATGCTTGTGAGTTTCATCCCCACTGTCCCCAAATGGCAAACAGCTGCCTCCTGGCCACCCCTCAATCACATAGGTGCCCATATCAATTGCAGGTGTGTCCCCAGAAAGGCAGGCCTCAGAAAGGAGCTTGTGAAGACTCTGGAAACAGGCTTGTGGCTGTTTAGGCAGGGAATTTCAGCTTCCCAGGTATCTATTGTGTTGTCTAGAAGGAGGCCAGGGGCCCTGTGCAGGCACATCTCTTTGGTTCCACTGTCTCTTCCTCAAAGTGATGCCCTCTAAAGCATAGGGACCAGAGTGGGCCTCTTGTATGGGTCTAAGTGTGGCTGCCAAATCCTCAGGGGGGAGAAAGAGGAGAACTAATGGCCAGTGGCCCCAGGAATTTGCCCACAGGAAGCCTTGCTCCTCCGTGGACTCCTATCCAACACTGAAGACAGAAATGGGCAGCTAGGGCAAGATGACCAAATTAATCCATCTCTATCAAGGCAAAGGGGTGGGGGAAGCAACCCTCAGAGGGAATGATTTGGTCTTAGACCTTACAAACCTGGGCTACTATTTACCACCACTTTCCTGTCCTTTAAGACTTAAAAGCCCTCATCAAAGGAAAAAAAAAAAAAGAGCAGAATTTTTTGGTAATTTTCTATGGTAATGAATGGTCACTAAACTTATTTGTGGTGACCATTTCACAATATATACAGTATTGATCGTTATGTTGTATGCCTGAAACCAATATAATATGTCAAAATTATACCCCCCCAAAAAAAATTCTCAGGGACACCTGGGTGGTTCAGTAGGTTCAGCAGCTGACTTTGGCTCAGGTCAGGATCTCACCATCCGTGAGTTGGAGCCATGTGTCGGGTTCTGTGCTGACAGCTCGGATCCTTGAGCCTGCTTCGGATTCCGTGTCTCCCTCTCTCTCTGCCCTTCCTCCTCTCACACTCTCTCTCTCAAAAATAAATAAACATTAAAAAAAAAATTCTCTGAACATTGCCTATGTCCCCTGGGGCACAACATTGTCCCTGGTTGAAAACCACTATCTTAGATGGAATATTCTACAGCCTTGACAATGATAGGTTTACAAATTATATGTAATAGAAAATGCCTATGTAACAATATAAAAAAGCAGAATGAAAATATATATTCATAACAAGGCCACAATTCCTCTAGTTGTTTGGATGGCCTGAAGTCCCTCTCAGAATAGAGAGCCCCAGCACATTCCCACCTTCACAATGAGCTGCCTGGTTTGAGCAGAGCCAGAAACTCTGTTTATTCATGCATGAGCAAGCTGCTGATAGGAAGGCAGTGCAATGCGGGGCGACATTCAGCTCTGGACTGGCCATGAATTAGTGTGCTTATGTGTTGCAATTCCCTTGGTGCAGGTGGGACATATGATACTCATTCACTCAGCACCAAGGGCTGGCCGGGGACTCAGGACCAACTCAGCAGCAGCAATCTGTCATCTGTCACACACCTTCTTGTATTGCCTTTCTCAGCTTGGCTGGAGCCTCTGAGACACGCGCAAGGAACCATTTCAAAGGCTGCCCTAGACACTATAACTCTGTTGTGGTAGAAGCTTACAGAAGACAGATGCCTCCAAGAGAGGGATGGCAACCAAATCTTGGGGCATGCAGATACCCGGCAAACTGGAAATATTTTTGAAAAGGAAGAGGAATTGGAGTTGGCCCATGCACAATGATAACAGATGAGTGCTTTCAGGAACAAAGAAACATACAGCTGCCAGAGCTTCGATGAGCTCCCTATTAGATGCATCTATATTATAGAGACAGAGACAGAGGATTGTACCTGACAGTGTGAAACTTAAGAGGGAAAGAATGTGGTGAGCCACAGCATCCCAGAGATGACTGCCCAGGTCCCATTCAGAGCACTGATTTCTATTCTTTATGGATTTGGGGAAATACTGGTACTATCTCTCCATAAAACAATTATGATCAAGTTATGGACATCCTAATTTTTTCTCTCTTCAGGGTTCTGTTCACCACCCATCTTCCTTTCCATTGCCCATGTCCAAAAATTGTGATGGCGTATGGTGTAGAAAATTCACTTTAGTAAATTTTGGGTCTTTAAATTATTTATGCATTTAACGAACACTTCCTGAGGTTTACGATGTGCTAAGCCCCATGCTGGATGTTGGGACTATCATGATGAATGGAACAAACATGGGCCCTGATCTCATGGCATCTGCATTCTATCAAGGGAGAAGGGTAGACAGAAATAAACACAGAAGCATAATAGAAATGTCATCAAGTAATGACAGATGACTATGAGGACAACATAGCAGATTGGCAAGCAACTGGAAGGAGGGTGGTCAGAAAAAGCATCTCTCGAGATAACCTTTGAGCTGAGAACTGAATGGGGAGAAGGAGGAAGCCCTGCGAAGACCTGGGGGGAAAGCATCATAGGTGAAGAGAACAACTGATAAAAATGCCGTGAAGCAGGAAGGAGCTTAGGTTGTCGGAGGAACAGCAAGGAGGAGAAAGAGGAAAAGAAGGAATAGTAGAAGATGATATTTGAAAGGCAGGTGGAAACGGGTCATCCAAGGCCTGGCAGTCCATGGTAGTATGTTAGGATTCTATTGCAAGTAAAATTATAATTCTTGGGAGGGGTTTACGCATCCATCCCTCCATCTTTTGGTACTAGCATCCCAATTTCCTCGTTGGAAATGTCTTCTTTCCCCATCGGGAACAGTCCAGTGGGACCATCAGTCTGGATGTACCAGACCCTTGGCACAAGACCAAGCTAAATTAATAGAGTGCACTCTTGCTGGAGATTTTTTCCTGTTGATTTTATAACATCTTTATTGAGATGTAATTGACACACCATACAATTCACCTCGTTAAAGTGGACAATTCAATGGTTTTTAATATATCCAGATCTGGGCAACCATCACTCCAGTTGATTTCAGAATATTTTCATCACCTCAAAAAGAAACCCTGTACCATTTAGCTCTCGTTCCCTCTACCTTCTTTCATCCCTCCCCCACTCCAGTCCTAAGCAACACTAATCTATTCTCTGCCTCTGTAGGATTCCCTTTTCTGGCTATATACCTTGAATGACATCATATAATCAGTGGTCTTTCATGTCTGGCTTCTTTCACTTAACTTTCTAACACTTTTGAGGGTTATCCATGTTGTCACATGTATGAGTACATCATTGCTTTTAATGGCTGAATAACATTCCACTGTATGGATAGATCACATTTTGTTTATTTGTTCTTCAATTGATGGACATTTGGGTTGTTACTTTTTGACTATTATGACTAATGCTGCTATGAATGCTTGTATACAAGTCTTTGTGTGGTCATATGTTTCCCATTCTCTTGGTTAGACACCTAGGACTGGATTTGCTGGGCCATATAGCTACTCTATGTGTAATATTGTGAGGAACTGTCAAACTGGTTTGCACCTTGGCTGCACCAATTTACATTACAAAGAGCAATGTATGAGGGTTCCAATTTCTCTATAGCCTCACCAGCAGTTGTTATTTTCCATTAAAAAAAAATTACAGCCATCTTAGTCAGTACCTAATTATGTTTAGAAGCATCTAGAAGCGGTACCTAACTGTGCTTTTGATTTCATTTCCCTAATGCCCAGTGATATTGAACATCTTTTCATGAGTTCACTGTCCTTTTTCTATCTTTTTTGGAGAAATACCTATTCAAATCCTTTGCCCACTTCTTTAATTGACTTCTCTGTCTTTTTTTTGTTGAGTTTAAAGAGTTATTTATATATTCTGGATGCTAGATCCTTATTAGATATATATGATTTGCAAGTATTTTCTCCGAAGATTTAAATTACAGTGCATCAGAGATTTTAATCATGATGACATCTACTTTATTTTTTCCTTGGTTGCTTGTGCTTTTGGTGTCATATATAAGAAACCATTGCCTTGGGGTGCCTGAGTGGCTCATCGGGTTAAGTGTCTGACTTCGGCTCAGGTCATGATCTTACAGTTTGTGGGTTCACCACACATCAGACTCTGTGATGACAGCTGAGAGCCTGGAGCTTGTTTTGGATTCTGTGTCTCCCTCTCTCTCTGCCTATCCCTGCTAGCTCTCGCTCTCTTTCTCTCTGTCTCTCTCAAAAATGAATAAACATTAAAAAAATTTAAACAAAAAAGAAACCATTGCCTAGTCCAAGGTCATGAATATTTACAAAATGTTTTCTCCTAAGAATTAGTTTTAGCTCTTATATTTAGATCTTTGATTTATTTTTTGTATATGGTGTGAAGGAGTTTCAGATTAACTTCTTTGCATGCAGATACCCAGTTATTGGGATATGTTGTTGTTTGGTGGTTTGGTGACTTTTCTGAACTAATTCTGTAAATCTATATTCTTTGTTGTGTGTAGCCACTAAAGTCTCTCTTCTTTTAGCTTAACAATCAGCTGATGATTGGAGAAAGATTTCCTTAACCTGATAGGACACTGCTCCATCCCAAATTTTCTTAGCTAGAAAGTCACCTAATTTATAGTGGGTTTGTGGCATCTAAACACCATCTAAACAGTCCTTGGGAATGCTGTCAATAATTTTTATTAGGATGAATTAAGGTTCTTCTGAGGGCATTTAGTTGCTTCCTGCATAGTATGGGGGAAAGGAAACACTGCTGTGAAGTAGGTGGCCTAAAGGTGGTTTCTTTGTCTATGTTTTATTAGGGGGTGACCCTTTCACCCAACATATATCACACCTCTCCCCATTCAGTTTCTGGCAATCTAAACACTGATGTTGTCACACACACACATACACACACACACACACACACACACACACACACACACAAACACAAAGCCCTTTTCCTCCTTGCTTATTGGTTAAATGTTAAGAATGAAATTTTGCATCAGTGTTCAGTTCTCAGCCAGTCTTTATCCATAATGTCTGGCTAACTTGTGGGCCTGTCACTGTGGGTCCCCAACTCTCCAGAACCTCACCTTCTCCCTTTTCACAACCTGTCTCTTCTCTTCCCTTATTTCCCTTCTTCTTCATGATCATAGCACCCTCTCTCTCTCTCTCTCTCTCTCTCTCTCTCTCACACACACACACACACACACCCCTACCTCCTGGAATAAGAGGCTTCTCAAAGGTTGACGATTTTATTTTAATCATCATCATCTCTGTTCCATATGGTGTTAGACCTTGTAGGATTGTCATTTGGCAGGGTCTTCTGGGCCTGAACTCAGTGATCTGAGTGTACGCTACTACTCAATTTTTGTAAAAGGCTGAAACTTCTTGTTTTTTTTCACTCTCTTCACCTTCCTTGGAATTGTTGTACCAATATGAGAGGATTTTTTTCTTGACTTTCCACAAAGCAGTCTTTTTATTCCCCTCTGTATCTTGTTTACCTGGAAGGGCAACAGGGTGATTCCAGAAGGGCAATGGGTTGGAGGAAGAAGGTGGGGACTGAATGGAAAGGAAGGTTTCATGAGAAGGGGCACAGGTTAATGTGGAGTTTTGTGCCAGGCAAGGAAAGGGTGGGAGTCTTGGGGGAAGGGAATCAAAGGGAAAGAAGAGGAGGGAATTGGGTGAGGTGGTCTCACCTTGCCAGTCCCTGTGGATCTGGGTTGATAGTGGTTCTTTCTCTTCTTCTTTTTTGTGTTTGGGGTTAATTGTCTTGTGCTTAGTGTTGGTTGTTTCATAACTGTGCTCACTCCCTCTGGCTTCCTGGTAACTTTAGCCGTGTTGAAACCTCCCAATGGTCTTCTCCAGAGCTCCTGACCAGACTGTAAAATACCCCTTAGTGGTACAATGAGGAGCCACACCCTTTGGCCTTGTTTGTTCAGTTAGGCACTCGCCCCAGCCAGTAGGGGATATGCTGGGTGGGTGGGTGTGAGCTTAGACATCACAAAGAATCACTCCTGGCTCCTCCCTGGGGGTGGGGGTGCTGGGTAAACCAAGAAGGTCTGGTTGGAGAGAGTGGGAATTTTCTCAACAACCCTTTCAAGAGCTTTCCTGAACTGACCCACCATTCTTTCTCATCATCTGCACACATGGCAGGCAGAGGGTGTTTCCTCCAAGCCCTGCCCTTTAGCCACTCTCATTCTTTGTTTCATTCTGTTCTTGCCTATATTTCACTGTTGCCTAATATTTTGGATGTCTTACCTAAAATTCTTCCAAGATAATGTGACTATGTTTGTCTATGGAGATGCTAATCACCCCACTTCTTTTCAACAGTTGTCTTTTATGCACCTTGAAGACCATTCACATCTTGGCTATTACCAGGAAACTTTTCCCACTGTCTTTGTCAAGCTCCTCAGTTTTCTATTTTATAGTCTGAAATTGCTGCCTTTGTCAGCAGTCAAAACAGTGTGGTACTGGCATAAGGATACACCCACAGATCAATCCAGTAGAAGTGAGAGTCCAAAAATAAGCCCATATATCTAGAGATATTTGTTATTGAGAACAGTGTCAAGAACATTCAATGGGAAACAATAGTTATTTCAACAGATGGTGTTTTGACAACTGGATATCCATACACAAAAGAATGAATTTGGATCCTACCTCACATCATATACTCCAAATGGATCATAGACCTAAACGTAAGAGCTAAAACTGTTAAACTCTTAGAAGAAACACAGGCAAAAATCTTCATGACACTTGAATAGGCTATAGTTTCTTAGGTATGACAATAAAAGCCAAAACAGTAGAAGGAAAATTTGATAAATTGACACCAAAATTAAAACCCTGTGATTCAGGGGTGCCTGGGTGTTTCAGTTGGTTAAGTGTCCAACTTTGGCTCAGGTCATGATCTCATGGTTCATGGGTTCGAGAGCCCTGTGTCAGGCTCTGTGTTGACAGCTCAGAGCCTGAAGCCTGCTTCAGATTCTGTGTCTCCCTCTCTCTCTTCCCCTCCCCCACTTGCACTGCCTCTCTCTTTCTCTCTCAAAAATAAGTAAACATTAAAAAATTAAACAAACAGGAAAAAAAACACCCTGTGATTCAACAGACCTCATGAAGAAAGTGAAGAGACAGAAATGAATGCACAGAACAGGAAAAAAAACTATACGTCATATATCCATAACTAAAATTTATCCAGGTAATATAAAGAACTCTTTCAACTCAATAATAAAAAGACAACCCAATTTAAAAGTGGGAAAAAGAATGAGGAGGTCAAAGTTTCACTCCTCACAGATGACATGATACTCTATATGGAAAACCCAAAAGATTCCACCAAAAAACTGCTAGATTCATGAATTCAGCAAAGTGGCAGAATATAAAATCAATGTACAGAAATCAGTTGCATTCCTATACACCAACAATGAAGCAACAGAAAGAGAAATCAAGGAATCGATCCCATTTACAATAGCACCAAAAACCATAAAATACCTAGGAATAAATCTAACCAAAGAGGTGAAAAATCTATACACTGAAAACTATAGAAAGCTTATGAAAGAAATTAAAGAAGGCACAAAGAAATGGAAAAACATTCCATGCTCATGGATTGGAAGAACAAATATTTTTAAAATGTCAATACTACACAAAGCAATCTACGTATTCAATGCAATCCCTATCAAAATAACACTAGCATTCTTCACAGAGCTAGAACAAACAATCCTAAAATTTGTATGGAACCAGAAAATACCCCAAATAGCAAAAGCAATCTTGAAAAAGAAAACCAAAGCAGGAGGTATCACAATCCCAGACGTCAAGCTATACTACAAAGCTGTGATCATCAAGACAGTATGGTACTGGCACAAGAACAGACACTCAGATCAATGGAACAGAATAGAGAACCCAGAAATGGACCCACACACATATGGCCAACTCATCTTTGACAAAGCAGGAAAGAATATCCAATGGAATAAAGACAGTCTCTTCAGCAAGTGGTGCTGGGAAAACTGGACAGCGACATGCAGAAGAATGAACCTAGACCACTTTCTTACTCCATACACAAAAATAAACTCAAAATGGATGAAAGACCTAAACATAAGACAGGAAGCCATCAAAATCCTCGAGAAAGCAGGCAAAAACCTCTTTGATCTTGGCCGCAGGAACTTCTTACTCAACACGTCTCTGAAGGCAAGGGAAACAAAAGCAAAAATGAACTACTGGGACCTCATCAAAATAAAAACTTCTGCACATCAAAGGAAACAATCAACAAAACTAAAAGGCAACTGACAGAATGAGAGAAGATATTTGCAAATGACATATCAGATAAAGGGTTAGTATCCAAAATCTACAAAGAACTTATCAAACTCAACACCCAAAAAACAAATAATCCAGTGAAGAAATGGGCAAAAGACATGAATAGACATCTCTCCAAAGAAGACATCCAGATGGCCAACCGACACGTGAAAAACTGCTCCACATCACTCATCATCAGGGAAATACAAATCAAAACCACAACGAGATGCCACCTCGCACCTGTCAGAATGGCTAACATTAACAACTCAGGCAACAACAGATGTTGGCGAGGATGTGGAGAAAGAGTATCTCTTTTGCATTGTTGGTGGGAATGCAAGCTGGTGCGGCCACTCTGGAAAACAGTATGGAGGTTGCTCAAAAAACTAAAAATAGAACTACCCTACGACCCAGCAATTGCACTACTAGGCATTTATCCAAGGGATAGAGGTGTGCTGTTTTGAAGGGACACAGGCACCCCCATGTCTATAGAAGCACTATCAGCAATAACCTAAGTATGGAAAGAGCCCAAATGTCCATCAGTGGATGAATGGATAAAGAAGAAGTGGCATATATATACAATGGAGTATTACTCAGCAATCAAAAAGAATGAAATCTTGCCATTTGCAACTACGTGGATAGAACTAGAAGGTATTATGCTAAGAAAAATTAGTCAGCCAGAGAAAGACAAATATCATATGACTTCACTCATAAGAGGACTTTAAAAGACAAAACAGATGAACATAAGGGAAGGGAAGCAAAAATAATATAAAAACAGGGAGGGAGACAACACATAAGAGACTCTTAAATATGGAGAACAAACAGAGGGTAACTGGAGGGATTGTGGGAGGGGGGATGGGCTAAATGGGTAAGGGACATTAAGAAATCTACTCCTGAAGGGGTGCCTGGGTGGCTCAGTCAGTTAAGCGTCCAACTTCGACTCAGGTGATGATCTCACGGTTTGTGGGTTCAAGCCCCGTGTCAGGCTCTGTGCTGACAGCTCAGAGCTCAGAGCCTGGAACCTGCTTCAGATTCTGTGTCTCCCTCTCTCTCTGCCCCTCCCTGGCTCACACTCTGTCTCTCTCTCTCTCTCTTTCTCTCTCTCAAAAATAAATAAACATTAAAAAAAATTTTTAAAGAAAAAAAAGAAATCTCCTGAAATCATTGATGCACTATATGCTAACTAACTTGGATGTAAACTAAAAAAACAAATTAAATAAAGTGATAAAAAAATAAAATAAAATAACAAAAATAATAAATGAATGAATGAATGAATAAATAAATAAATAAATAAATAAAAGTGGGCAAAAGACCTGTAAGATGCTTCTCCAAAGAAGATACACCAGTGGTCAATAAGCATATAAAAAGGTACTCAACATTATTAGTCACCAAAAAAAATGCAAATCAAAACCAAAATGAGGTACCACTTCACACCCACTAGGATATAGATAAGTAAAAAGTAAGCTAATAACATGTATTGATGAGATTGTAAAACATTGGAACCCTCATACCCTGCTTATGGGAATGTAAAATGGTGCAGCAGTTTGAAAAAAAATGTGCAGTTCCCCAAAAAGCTAAACATAGAGTTACCACATGACCATGTGCGTATCGTTGCTACAAACATTCATGAACAAGTTTTGGGCAGATGCGGTTTTCATTTCTCATGGGAACTCCGCTCCTAGGTCCATACCCATGAGAAATGAAAACTACGTCCACACAAAAACTCATACACGAATGTTCCTGGCAGCATTATTCCCAATAGCCAAAAGGTGGAAACAACTCAAATGTCCACCAACTGGTGAATGGATACATAAAATGTGGGATATTCTTTGGCCATAAAATAAATGGAATTCAAATACATGCTACACCATGCGGGAGCCTTGAAAACATCATGCTAAGTGAAAGAAACCAGTTGCAAAGGACTACATATTATGATTCCATTTACATGAAATGTCTACAATAGGCAAAGCTATAAACACAAAAGGCACTAGTGGTGGCATAAGGCTAGTCAGGGAATAGGGAGATTGGAAGGTGATGATTATGGTGTGCAGAGCTTCTTTTGGTCATCATGAAAATATTCTAAAATTGATTTAGATGAAGACTGCAGAACTCTGTGCATGTATTAAGACAACGAATGGTACGTTATAAACAGGTGGATTGTATGGTAGGTGAATCATATCTCAATAAAGCTGTTAAAAAAAAAAAACAATGAACAAGAACCGTCCTCATAAAGGTAGTTTACTAGTTAGTGCTTTATAACCAAAAAGTACTTTGCAATCAGACCTGGTTCTGAGTCTTGACTCTACCACCTACAAGCTGTGTGGCCTTAGGTGAATCATTTCCCCCTTTCTGGCTCTCAGTTTCCTCTTCTGTAAAACATGCTTAACAGTACGATCTACCTTATACGGTGATTGTAAGGGTTAAATTAAATGGTGATTTTTCAGACGTGAAAATATGAAGACCCCAAGAATATATTTGTGGACTCTTGAGCATATGCCCCCTGGTCTGAAGTTTAAGAAACGCTGCCATCTCTGTTCATCACAATCACCAAAAGCAGTGCTGAAACAGACAAGGAAGGCATGTATCACAGTTCACTTATGTGGGGTCCCCAAGATCATCCAGAATATACTCACTCATTAGATGTAACAGAACAGGGGCGCCTGGGTGGCTCTGTCGGTTAAGCATCCAACTCTTGGTTTCAGGTCAGGTCGTGAGCTCACCATTCATGGGCTTGAGCTCTGAGCTTGGGATTCTCTCTCGCAAAATAAATAAAGAAACTGAAAACAAACTTACAAAAAATAAATAGATCTAAACAGAACATTTTATACTTACTGCAGAGAACTCACTGACCTTAACCTCCTTGAGAATATCTCCGTGGCAACTGTCACTCTCATATTCCGCTGGAGGAGTATAAAGTGTTACAACTACTTTGAACAACTGGTTGGCAGTCAGTTTACCTACAATGGAATATTAGTCGGCATTACAAAGGAAGGAAATTCTTAAACGTTTATTTATTTATTTTTGAGAGACAGACAGAGAGAGAGAGAGAGAGAGAGTGCAAGCGGGGGAGGGGCAGACAGAGAGGGAGACACAGAATCCGAAGCAGGCTCCAGGCTTCGCGAGCTGTTCAGTACAGAGCCCAGCCTGGAGGTTCGAACTCACAAACCGTGAGATCATGACCTGAGCCGAAGTCGGGTGCTTAACCGACTGAGCCACCCAGGCACCCCTCGAATATGGCTTAGTGCATGATAACAAGGAGGTGCATGAGGAACATTTGTTTCTTTATTCTATTTTCGTGAGATGCAAGAGAAAAGAAAATATGCATTAATAAAAACTTCTTTGAAGTGTAATGCTTGCATGCCCTGCTTAAGTATTAAAACTGCCAGTTGTTCATATTCACAAGACTATTTTCTTGCAAAAGCTAATTTGACTGTGACTTCTAATGAGACGTAAGTGGATACAACGACTCAGGAATGGAAGAGATAGAGAATTATCTGCAACTTGCATCTGACTCATCAGTATGCCGGATTAGACTCCTCAATAGCCACTGGCCATAGTATGACTGTTGAAAATATGTCCAGGGGTGCCTGGGTGGCTCAGTCGGTTGAGCGTCCGACTTTGGCTCAGGTCATGATCTCGCGGTCTGTGAGTTTGAGCCCCACGTTGGGCTCTGTGCTGACAGCTCAGAGCCTGGAGCCTGCTTCAGATTCTGTGTCTCCCTCTCTTTCTGCGACTCCCCCACTCGTGCTCCGTCTCTCTCAAAAATAAACATAAAACAATTTTTTCAAAAAGGAAGAAATTCTGAACCACACTACAACATGAAACCCTGAGGACATTATGCTAAGTGAAATAAGCCAGTCACAAAAAGATAAATACTGTGTGATTCTACTTCTACTGTGTGATTTTCCACTTAGAGTAGTCAAAATCAGAGACAGAAAGTAGAATGGTGGTTGTCAGAGGATGTGGGGAGGGTAGAATGGGGAATTGCAGTTCGATGGGTATAGAGTTTCAATTTTGCAAGATGAAAACATTCTAGAAATCTGTTAAACAACAATATGATATTGTTCATACTACTGAACTATACACTAAAAAATGATTGATGGCACATTTGATGTTTTCTGTTTTTTAACCACAATTTTAAAAAATAAAAATAAAATAAAGCACTTTCTAAGTTACAAAAAGAAAGAAAGAAAGAAGGAAAGACAAAGCTTCTCACCTCAAGTCCAACACAGCGGTCCTCCTCCTTGGCTGCATTTTGGAATCACCTAAGATTTAAAATTTTCTGATGCCTGAGCCCCACCTTAGAGACTCTGACCACCTTTGTCTGGGGCATGGACGAATAATTTAGGTGACTCTAGAATTTAGGTGATTCTAAAATACAGCCATGACCACTGAACTAGAGATTCAGAGTTGGTGTGGAGGTCTCCCTGGGGGCTCTGGATGGAGTTTCCAGGCCCGGTGCACTTGAAGGGGCTGAGATGAAGTAGTCAGTGGGGACGGAGAGGAGATGGAATCGGCTGAGCTTGCTGATGATTGGAGTAGTTGTAGGGCACCATGGGTAACTTCTGGGTTCCTGACTGGAACACAGGAAGGATGGCAGCGTGATTGCATCAGGTGGGGAGACCTGAGGGCAGGGGCTTTGCAGGGAAAGACCATGGGGTCGGTTTAGGAGACCTGTGGACACTGAAATGCCTGTCAGAGGTCTGTGGAGAGACAGTGAGCAGGGAATTGGATCTTGCAGTGTGGAGCGTGGGGACAGGTCCGAGGCAGAGGTCAATTTGGATAACGCTGAAAGGCACAGGGATTGATGAGATCACCCTGGAGAGGAAGTGTAGCGCAGGCACGCAGAAGTTTCGGAACCGGACTCGTGAGTACTCCAATTCCGGCTTGGGAAACGGAAAATAAGAAGGGATTTTTTTAAATGGTAAACATGAGAGGCACCTGGGCGGCTCAGTCGGTTGAGCGTCAGACTTCTGCTCAGGTCACCGTCTCACAGTTCGTCAGTTTGAGCCCCGCATGGGGCTCTGTGCTGACAGCTCAGAGCCTGGAACCTGCTTCAGATTCTGTGTCTCCCTCTCTCTGCCTCTCTCCCGCTCATGCACTCTCTCTTGCTCTCTCTCTCTCTCAAAAATAAATAAACATTAAAAAAATTTCAAATGGTAAACATGATAATGGGTAATATTTATTAGCAATCAATTTGTGCTGAGCCCTACTCTCCAAGCCCTGTTCTCAAAACTTTACTGTTTTAACTTGACACACAATTGTTTGGTTGTGGGAAATGAAGCATCCAACTACATTTTGATTTTTGGCAGCTGAGAGCTTTCAAGCCCCATCCCTCCCTTCCCTTTTGCCCCATATCTGAGTGAGTCAGGTGCTCTGTCCCCCAGCAGAGATTTCAAACCGTGAAAGGCCCTGCATCCACGCACAAAGTCCCACCCCAGCTCCACTCCCCATGACAACAAACACCCGAAGCTGCCATTCCCCCCTAATGGGAACCTGAGCCCTTCTCCTTGGGACTCCTGCTGAGGGTTCCTTTGTGAGTAACCAACTGTTTTAGTTTCCTACGGCTGCTGTAACAAACTGCCAGGAATCCAAGGGCGTAAACAATAGAAATTTATGCTCTCACAGTTTCGGAGTCTGGAATCGGTGTCGCTTGTCTGAAATTAAGGTGTCAGCAGGGCCGCACTGCCTCTGAAGCCTCTGGGGAGGAAGCTGTTCTTAGCCTCTTTCAGTGTCTAGTGGTTGCCGGCATTCTTTGGCTGCTGGCCCCATCGCTCCAATCCTCAAGTCAGAACCGGACTCGTGAGTTTCTGTCTTCACGTTTCTGTCTGCTCCGTCTTTGTATCTCACATCACCTTCTTCCTCTGTGTGCACCATCTTTGTCTCCCTCTTATAAGGATACGTGTGACTGTGTTTAGAGCCCACCCAGATAATCCAGGATAATGTCCTCACCTCAAGATCCTTCACTTCATCACATCTCCAAAGACCTTTTCTTCCAATAAGGCAACACAGTTTCCAGGGATTAGGTCCCAAAGTCTCGAGGAGACACTTTTTTCAGCTTATCACAACACACGTTGGTGCCTATGTGTCACTTGTCCCAACATCCAGAAATTCTTGAGTGAGTGAGGACTCCCCAGTATCCATCAAGGGATGGTAGGCACCCCCCCCCCAAAAAAACAGTAATATTATTCCCAATTCACAGATGACATGACCAAGGGGACACTAGAGGCTGGGAAACTGGGGCAAGATGTGTTTGGTTATGTTTTGTTTCAAAAGGACCCCTGCCTCATTACCTGAAAAATCTCTTGGCTCCTTAACAGAAAACAGGCAATTAGTGAGAAGGCCATCCACAGGGCAATGAGCTAGCCTGGACGTGTTGGAGGAAAAGGGAAAACAAAAGTTGAGACCCAAAGGAGCCTACAGAACCCTAAGTATAGAACGAGCTGATTGTGCTGTTGAGCAGAGCAAATACCCTGCACACACACACTTTGCAGTGGGCAAGTGGCTCCAAAGCCGTAGTGGATCTTCAGCTCTATTTATATGAAATTAAAGCTACAGTTGTTTTACATCATCCCACTTTGAGGAAGCAGCAGATATTCAATGTACATTAGTAGTTACCCGGACAGCACTGCCTCTGACATACTCTTTCATAATTATCAGGCTTAGTTGACATTTTGTTCTTCACAGTTCTTTGTAAAAAAATTTTAATGTTTATTTATGTTTGAGAGAGAGAGCGACAGAGCACAAGTGGGGGAGGAACAGAGAGAGAGAGGAAGACACAGAATCCAAAGCAGGCTCCAGGCTCCGAGCTGTCAGCACAGAGCCCGACACAGGGCTTGAACCCACGAACCATGAGATCGTGACCTGAGCCGAAGTCGGATGCTCAACTGACTGAACCACCCAGGTGCTCCTGTTCTTCACAGTTCTTTACTGGTTCCTCCTCCGGCTCCCGCTAACATCCTTCAACATTCCTCGGTGAGGTCGGATTCCATTCAGTTTTCCCACAGAAGTGAAGAGATCTGGCTTCAAGTCCCGCGTCTACCACTAACTGGCTGTGTGACCAACACAGAGCAAATCCCTTCTATCTGGGCTTCAGACTTCAAATCTGAAAAGCAAGGAAGGTGTATGGCCCTGTTCAAAAGCACACAGTTCTTTATGGTGGCTAAAACACCCTGGACCCTCCCCAGAGAGAACTGATCTAAAAGGAAGCTCTTAAACCACAGCGCCGCTGACCCCCACAGGAAGCTGCTGCCTTTGCAACGTCTCAAGTTGGCCCTGCATCTACTACGTGGCATTAACGCAAAGAAAGACAATCACTCTTCTTTGGAATGACTGTAACAGATTTCATTCTTGGCAATTACTGTAGGTGGGAACGAGAAAATTCTTTCATGATGAACAAAAGCTTTTGTGTCTTTTCCACACAGTGGAAAACTGCCTAGATGGACACAGCAAACTGCTCCGATGGAAGACTTTGGAATGTCTAATTTGAAAAACAGGCACGTGGCACTACAGTAAAGGTCTCTGCCTCCTTTCTCCTCTAGCTCATTTCCTCTCCCTTGCTTGCTCCAGTGTGCCAGGTGTAAACAATCTCTCCTCTGGAAACTTTAAAACTTCACCATAATCATTTTTATTGGTTTTAAGCAAGTACCAAATTAATTAGCAAAATAGTGCAGCCAAATAAGCGGCTTAATGTACTCCCAGGGTAGACAGCCTTTAAAGAGTCTCTTTATTCCATACTGGCTAACCCATCTCCCTCTAGCATAGGACACTGGGGAAAGCATGGGCTTTGAGCCTGATAAAGTAAAGCTGGAATCCCAGCGCTATTATTTCCTAACTGTATGACTTGGGGCAAGTTGTTTGTTAACCTTTCCGGGCCTCTACTTCCTCCTCTATCAAATCTGTCTTATCATAGCTACTCACTATGGTAAGTGGTTTACATGGATTATATCACTTTAGCCACACAGTAGCTTCTGAGGTTGGTGTCACCTGCTTTTATTGTGAGCATTATGTGAGATAACTCAGGTAAGCAACCAGTGGGTTGCTGAAGAAAATGGTAGCCAGTTACTACTGTGTGCAGCTTTGTGCTGGTTACTGTGGCGGACGTCAAGAAGTATTTACTCATCAAACATAAACTGAGCACCTGCCATGTATTTATTTTAAAAAGTGGAGCAGGAATGTTCCAAGAAAGTATGTGACTCAGTTTCTCAACCTTGACTGGTCCTCTTGTGTTCAGGAGGATTTCAGGTAGGTTGAATTAAATACCCTCCCTGGCTACATGAGCCTCTAGGAGTCGTGGGTTTGTCTCCTGTATTTCCTTGTTCTCTCCTCTAGTCTCCTGCTCTCAAGGCCATAAACTTGGACATAATCCTCTGGGGCGGGGGAAGCGTCACCAGCATTGCTAACAAGGCTGGATATAGACCACACCAAAGGCAGAAAAGATTTAGAACATTCAAGTGGTCTGTGCAAGAGAAGGTAGGGGCTTACACTCCCCTTCTGCAAACCCTTCACAGAATGGCCACCCTCCAAGTTGGCCTTGGTCCACTGACTATCCCTCCCATTTCCCCCTTCTGCCCCACATGCTCCTTGCAGAGCTTTGCCAAACTCCCGCTTTTTGATCTTCTTGGCATTCTTCAGGTTATTTCCTAGGTCTGGTGGAAGACATCTGTGCCTGTTGAAATTCACCTCATCCTTACAAGCTCGAATGGCCCCTCTGGGGATGGTATCAGGAGTGAAAGCTGAGGTGCTTTTCCATGGTATACAGTGAAAATAGCAGCTCTTTAATATGATGAGAGCTGATTATAGCACTTTAATCCCTATTAAAGCCATCACAAATGTAAGGTTAATTTTTTAAATAAAAATGAGAGCGGTATTTATGTAGTCTGCATAAAGCAATTGTGAACATAAATCAATTAATAAAAAGTTAGTACTACACACCAGATGTCAGCTTATCGCCAGATGCCAATATTTATAACCGTATCTATCTATATCACAAACATACCCTGCTGCATAGATTAACATATAAACACTTTTGAATCATATGATTACATGTGATTTATAGATTTATATAATATATATATATATATATATATATATATATTAGCCAAGGGAAAAACTATAAAGATGGTTGAGGTGCTCAATAGCCTAAACAATACAGGAATACCAAAAACGAGAATATGGTACCTAAGTGTCAGTGAATTAAAGGCAGAAACATAGTATGTAAAGACCTCACACTCGTTCCAAATTGTAAAAAAATAAAATAAAATAAAGTAAAAGTTTGATCCACTTAATTTGAGCCACGATAGTGGGTTAGCTAGTGCCCCCGCCCATTCATTTCCACCTGGAACCTCAGACTGTGATCTTATTTGGAAGTAGAATCTTCGCAATTGTAATTAGTTAAGGATCTCAAGATGGAATCATTCCGGATTTAGGGCGAGTCCTAAATCCAGTGACTGGCATCCTTATGAGAAGAGGAGAGGACATGGGGAGACACACAGGAGAAGGCCATGTGAAGACAGAGGCAGAGCTTGGAGTGATGCAGTTACAAGTCAAGAACCACTGAGGATTACCGACAAGCACGAGAAGGCAGGAGAGAGGCGGGGAACAGGTGCTCCCTCAGAGCTACCAGAAGGAACCCACCACACCGACAACTTCCTTTCAGACTTCTGGCCTTCAGAACCACCAGAGAATACATAACGTTGCTACAGTAGCCACAGGAAACTAATACAGTGACCTTAACTCGGATATCCAAACCTGATGAAGCACCAAAACCGAGAACTAAAAACCTAATTTGTGAATATAGAAGCATAAATTCTAAATAAAGTATTAGCAAAGCAATTCCTGAAGAATAATACACACTAAAAGACTAGTTTACTGTGACTTGGCAGGTTTTCCTTTAGGTGTACATAGGTGTTTGATAATTAGAAAAACATGTGAATAGTATTCATCACATCACAATCAAAGCTATATGACCATCTTGATAGGTGTCAGGAAGTTATCTTTTAAATTTTTTAATGTTTATTTTTGAGAGAGAGACAGAGAGACAGAGAGACAGAGAGAGAGACAGAGAGAGAAAGAATGAGCAGGGGAGGGGCAGAGAGAGAGGGAGACACAGAACTTGAAGCAGGCTCCAGGCTCTGACCTGTCAGCACGGAGCCCGATGTGGGGCTCAAACTCACAAACCGTGAGATCATGACTTGAGTCGAAGTCAGACACTTAACCAACTGAGCCACCCAGGTGTCCCAGGAAGTCATCTTTTAAAATTCACATACAGGGTCGCCTGGGTGGCTCAGTCGGTTGAGCATGGGACTCTTGATTTTGGCTCAGGTCATGATCTTGCAGTTCATGGGATCAAGCCCTACGTTGGGCTCTGCACTGACAGTGAGGAGCCTGCTTGGGATTCTCTCCCTCTCTTTCCTCCCTTGCTTAGCCCCTCTCTCTCTCTCTCTCTCTCTCTCTCAAAATAAATCAATAAACGTTTTTAAAAAATAAAATCCACATCCATGAGTTCCTAATAAGTATTATTTTTTTTAAGATTTTAGTTTTTAAGTAATCTCTAATACCCTACATGGGGCTCAAACTCATGACCCCAATATCAACAGTTGCACACTCCACCAACTGAGCCAGCCAGGCACCCCCCAATAACTATTCTTAGTACAATGTGATTATAAAGACATTGCCTTAGCGGGCCATACAATATGCATCTGAATGCATATATGTGTGTGTATCTGTGTATACATACATATATTTCCCAGCTCTGTGCACTGAGATGACCTAGAGTCAATGGCCCCAGTAGCAATGAGCATACCTAGTGCCCAGATGTTGACTTCTAAATACCATTCTCCTTGGAGAAATGTGCAGGCACAGCAAATGTACAAGATGAACCTGAAAAAGAGCAAGGTATAAAATAAATATCCACACTGAGGCCACACTGAGAGATAAATACATGACTGAATAAATAAATGAGAGAGAAAGGAGAGCTCTTTCAATTCATAAATATAGCGGGAATGATGGACACAGAAAATTATCATTTAGCAAACACCATGGTAATAATTGTTTCAAGAAAAATCATCAGCAGATGCTAAAATTAGTGGATAAAAGTATAACGAGAAACAGGATATTTACATAGTCTGAAAACATATTACCACAAGATATTTATAATTACTGAGGGAAAAATTGTAACTCCACAGTGAAGAAACCTGGAAAACAACGATCAAAATTAACATCACTGGTATCAGGACATATCAACATGAGGCACCTCTTGACAGGAGACCCTAAGAAGGGCACAGCATCACTTCTGTGGTATCCTCGCCAAAAATGGAAAATCTGCATTTAACTGAGGAAACCTCAGACAACAAAATGGAGCAACATTCTACAAAATAAGTGGCCAGTTCTGTTCAAAAGTTTCAGAATCAGTAACAATAAAGTCTAAGGTACTGTCCCAAATCATAAAAGCCAAAGGTTTTTTTTTTTTGTCCCCTGAAGATCGGAAGAGCGTCGTCCCTAATAAAAGGTATTAGTGGAACAATTGATAAATTCTGCATAAGGTCTACAGATTGGTTTATAATATTGCATCATGTTATTTCTCTGGCTTTCATACTTGTACTGTGATTATGTAAGATGTTAACATTTAAGGAAGCTGGACAAAAGGTACATGAGAATTCTTTGTGCTATTTTGCAAATTTTTGCAAATCTGGAATCATTTCAAAATCAAGAGTTAAATTAAGAAATAAACTTAAAGAACCAAAAAATGTTTTAACTCTAGTGTATCTCATACAGCAGAATTTTATGCAAACATTAACCTTAGGGTTTTCTTAAAGTAATAGGGTGCCAATGAGGAAATGCTCACACTATATTAAATGGAGATATATCACATTCTACTTCTACTTAGGAATGCAAGTGAATGAACTCGAAGAACTACGAGGATAATTCAGTTAGGTGGTTACAAAATAAATGTACAGGACTTATAGTGATTCTGTACGCCAGCAATAACAAGTTAGAACATACAATGTTAAAAGAATATCCCATTCACAATAAAACCTCTAGAATGCTAGGAAGAAACTTCCACTTTAGTAAGAGGGATATGAAGTCCAAGTGAGTGAGGAGCTTGGACAGAGTTGGTAGAATTGGTTAAAAATGAGGAAAAAAATGAATCAGTATCTTGTACGATACGTTCTTAAGCGAGCAGAATATGCCACCCCCAAATACGCCACTTTGGCATAAGGATTATTTTGAGCTAATTATTTTGAGAAACTGCAGACACAGGAGGAGCTCTGAAAACAGTAGAAGGGACCCTTTTGTAAAGGAAATTTATATTAGAAAGGCGGCCTGTACCAAGAAGAGAGCTGTTACCAGAGATCCCTTTTTCGTCTTAGAGACTTATCTGCATGGCAGGGCAAATTTTCTTCAGGAAACATTTTCACTTCTCACCTTCCTTTGAGTTGTCTCTGCCCCACACTTTGGAAACCCTAGGCCCCTATCCCTTTCCGTAACTCAGGATGGTATATTTACCTCAATAGTCTGGCCACCTTTTGAGTCGCATATCTTTGTGGGACTCCCATATGTGCATGCATGTAATTAAAATTGTTTATTTTCTCCTGTGAATCTGTCTTTTATTACAGGGGGCTCTCAGCCGAGAACCTAGAAGGGCAGAGGGAAAATTATTTTTCTTCCTCCACACCATTATAAATACCCCATAACTGTGAATTAAATAGTTAAATGTGAAATGCTTAACCACTGGGGTAAAATAAGCTGGGCACTATTTAGGTGAATGCTTAATCTCAGGGGAAGGAATAGTTCTTTAAGCATAAGTAGGTAAAAGCTGTAAAGAAAAAGACTCCTAGTTTTACCTACACAAAAGTTTTAAATTTATTTATTTCAACATGAGCATAAGGAAAAACAAAAGAGAAATGCCAGATTTAGGAGATTTAATATATGTGACAGGCTCAATACCCTTCATAGGTTAAGAGCTCTTACAAATATACAGGAAAAAGGACCCCAACAGAAGAAACAAATTGGCAAGAGACACAGACAGAAATGACAAAAGAAAGACAGGGAGAGACAGAGAGCAAGAGAGAGGGAGAGGGAGGGAGGAAAGAACAGAGGGAAGGAAAGGAGAGAAAGAGATGTATGCCTTTGCTAGTAAAATATTGTTTGGTTTGCATTTCTTTGTCTACAATATTTTTATCTACAAAATGGACAAAAGTAAAGAGAATTATGTGAGGTTTGTGAGCATGCAGAGTTAAGTGCACTCCCATAATGTATTGTGGATGACGATGTAAATTCGTGCAATTTCTCTGAAGTGCACTGTGGTGACATAACAAGAACCTTAAAAGAAATTCATTCGCCTTGACCTAGAACTTCCAATCATTCAGTGGACATATCGGAACTGTCTCCAAGAAAGTATGCGTAACATACAGTGGTACTTACAGGAGCAAGATGCTGAAAACAGTATAAATAGGCAACACCAAAGACACAGTAAGGAAACCTTGGCCTGTTTATCTATAAGGAAAACTACCATGCAGCCATCAAAAATCATCTGACAAAACTGTGGGGATTGTAAGAAAAATACTTATGAAATATAACATATTGTTAAGTAACATACGATATAGGGTAAAGTAATAAAAAACAGACTAAAAAAAAGAAATAAAATATAATCTTAATTTATTTTTTTCCATTTTTTTAAGCTTGATTTATTTTTGAGAGAGAGAGACAGACAGACAGAATGTGAGTGGGGGGAGAAACAGAGAGAGAGAGAGACACAGAGTCCGAAGCAGGCTCCAGGCTCTGAGCTGTCAGCACAGAGCCCGACATGGGGTGGGACCCACAAACCGTGAGATCATGGCCTGAGCTGAAATCGGACACTTAACCAACTGAGCCACCCAGGCGCCCCAAATATAATCTCAATTTAAACATATATGTTCACAATATATAAACATCTCCACCATTTCGCTTATTTCAAATGTAATAAGAAAGTCTGTCTTGAATACACTGGGAAACTTCTGAAAGCAAGAACTTTGAAAACACAGTGGAAATTGAAATGCTGTGATGTTTTAATCGAAGAAAATTCAATTATATGATTTGAAATCATATATGTGTATCTATATAATCCATTTATTCAATAAATATTTATCAGGCACCGATTATGTGGCAGGAAGTCTAGCAGGCTCTGGGGACACAATGGTGAGCGAGGGCACAGACCTGTCCTCCCGGCATTTACATTCTCGTGCGGCAGTTTTAGCCAACATATAAATGTGCAAATAAATATATATCTACAGATTTCAGTAAGTGCCTTGAAGAAATATTACAAGTGACTACTACAGTGCATCAAGAGGGCTGATTTTTTAGGCGTGTGAGCATGGTTTGCACAGCATAGCAAAAGAGCTAAAAGTTGTTTTCTAAAATGCTAAAGTGATTCTTCTTTTCATAGGACCCTTAGCAATGATTAGTGATCTTTCCTTGTTACCACTTTTGCCATATTTTCCCAAATGTCAGCAATGAACTTGTATTCCTTTTATAATCAAAAAAGAATAAAACACTTCGCAATACACTTCACCAAGGAGGTAAAAGACTTGTACGCTAAAAACTATAAGACACTGATAACAAAAGCTAAAACAGACACCCATAAATGGAAAGACATCTCGTGTTCATTGACTGGAAGAATTAATATTGTTTCAATGGCCATACTACCCAAAGCAATCTACAGATTCAGTGTAATCCCTATCAAGATCCCAATGGCATTTTTTACAGAAATAGAAAAAACAATCTTAAAATTTGTATGGAACTACAAAAGACTCCACATAGCCAAAACAATTTTGAGCAAGAACAAAGCTGGAGGTATCACACTTTTGGATTTCATAATATATTACAAGCTACAGTAATCAAAACAATATGATACTGGCATAAAAACAGACACAGAAACCAGTGGAACAGAATTGAGAGCCCAGAAAAAAAACCCACGCATATACAGTCAACTGACCTTCCACGGGGTGCCAAGAGTACACAATGGGGAAAGGACACCATCTTCAATCAATGGTGTTGGGAAAACTGGATATCCATGTGCAAAACAGTGAAATTAGACCCTTATCTCACACCCTACACAGAGGTAAGTCAAAATGGTTTAAACACTTAAACGTAAGGCCTGAGTCTATAAATCTCCTAGAAGAAAACATAGGGAAAAAGCTTCCAAGACCTTGGGTTCAGCACTGACTTCTTGGATAGGACACCAAAAGCACTGGCAACAAAAACAAAAATAAACAAGTGAGACTGCATCAAACTAAAAAGCTTCTGCACACAAAGGAAACAATCAACAAAATTAAAAGACATTTTCAACCTACAGAATGGGAGAAAATATTTGTAATCTCTATATTTGATAAGGAGCTAATACCCAAAATATATAAGGAACCCTTGAAACTTAATAGCAAAAAAAGCAAATAATTAAAAACTGGGCAAAGGACTTAAATAGACATTTCTCCAAAGAATATGTACGCATGATCAACAGGTATATGAAAATGTGCTCAATGTCAGTAATCATCAGAGAAACACAAATCAAAATCACAATAACAGGCACCTGGGTGGCTCAGTTGGTTAAGCTTCTGACTTCAGCTCCAGTCGTGATCTTGCGGTTTTTGAGTTCAAGCCCCGTATCAGGCAGTCTGCTCTCAGCACGGAGCTCACGTTGGATCCTTTGTTCCCCTTTCTCTCTGCCCCTCCCCGCCCTCTCTCTAAAAAATAAATAAACATTTTTATTTATATTTTTTTAACATTTATTCATTTTTTGAGAGAGAGACAGAGAGACAGAGCAGGAGTGGGGGAGGGGCAGAGAGACAGAGAGACACAGAATCCGAAGCAAGCTCCAGGCTCTGAACTGACAGCACAGAGCTTGACGCGGGGCTCGAACTCACAAACTGTGAGATCGTGACCTGAACCGAAGTCGGATGCCTAGCCAACTGAGCCACCCAGGAGCCCCAATAAATAACATTTTTAAAAAACCACAATGAGATATATCACTTCAGACCCGTTAGGATGGCTATTATTAAAAAAACAAAA